GGGGGAGGGACAAGGGGGTGTAGTAGGTCGTTCTTTTCTAGAGATGGAGGGAAACTCTTCTCATGGGAGAGTTGTAGTTGATGCTGTGCTGCGTTTTTGATTGTGGGATTTAGAAGGGGTCGACTCTATACGGTATAGCGTATGTGACATTCCTCGTAGTATGGTACTCTGGGTATGAGTACTTGGGATATGGAGACCTGGGAACTTTGTCGTTGTTGGTTGTGTTGGTTGTAGGTACGAGAGACTTGGTTGAAATGATGGATGGTGGATGGGCTTGTATGTGTTTTTGCTGGTGTTTTAAGGCAGAGTAGAGTGTATGTGTAAATAAGTGGATTGGGGGTTATTTGCATGTGTAATGGGATAGTTGAGTTACTTGTGCTCCTGCCAGACTTTTAGTGTTATAATTCTTTCGAGTACGTCTAGAGTAAGGACCAATTTTCTAACTTCCCACGTTCAGATTTAATATGTAGATATAATCCTATCTCAACTTACCAAATACTCGTTTACAACAAGGGATCCAGGGCGTGGGAGCCCTGAGGCTGAGCTCAATGTTCGGAGGTGTGTTCCCTAAGCCATTTCAAGGGCTTGGGGCATCTAAATGTTCTGCTCAAGGTGGCGAACGCAATTGTCTACAAGAAAGGAACTGCTCCTGGCATTCGCGCAAGGTAGCAAATTAGATAACTTTTCCAAATTGTCCAGTACGAGGATATCATATGACAGCCCTACATGACCTTAGAATATCAGCATAATATTGCCGGGCTTATTTCTCTATACTCGAGTAATGATATAGGTAAGGTGCTGCAAGTCGGACCTTTCCGTCTCGCATCAACATCTTCCTCCGTCGACCCGCGTCTCTCTGGCGAGAAATAGATCCAGCACTTTTTGTGTGATGACGCAGACAGGGTATTTGTACATTAGACCTTCCTTAGTTGCAGGTGTGCATTTCTTTCCAAACAACTATATCTATCTGTACAGGTCGGTGCCCAGTCGCGAAGCAACCTCGACCTCGACGACTCGTTCCTTCCGCCCCTCGCTTAGATCGTCGTCCTTGGCAACATCAACCACTGCTTTCCAAACCTTCACATTCACTCCCTTCACTACCCAAACACCCTTGCCCTCTCACATGACCCACAAATCCCTTTGCTAAAACCTCTTCCAAGTCTCCATAACCACAAATAAGCCCTCTAGCTCTCGCTATTCGACCTAGCGTAATTGCGGGTTGCACTGGCGCATGGGCAAAACAGTCAGGAGGAAGACGTTAAAAGATCCGCAAGCCGCAGCCTATCGGAGCGAAGCAATAAACACGGCTAGAAATGGTGTCAGTGTTTCCTTAAGATCCTTGTACAGTTCTTGTGCGTAGGTGATTAAGTTTTTGGCTTTTTTTGGGTATGTTTTTGGGGTTTTTTGTGTGTGGGGGTGAGTGGAGAGAGCCGCAGTCGTGGACGCGCGGGAGGTTGTAGTGGTGGGTGAGTGGCGAGTGGCTTTGGTGGAGCGGTGAAGTGTGTCAGAGGTTGGAATACAAGTGAGCTTTGGAATTTATCTGAAGTGAAGCTTAAGATGCCGTAAGTCGGGATCTATCTTACTCGTCTTGAATTCGCACTCGAGGGACCCAACTGAACACATGTCAAGCCAAGACGGGCCCAACTTACATCACGAAATCCTTCCCAGATTTCTTCTGTAGAACCTATACACTCAAAAATTCTGTAGGACATCGAGGTGAGTGAGGAAGGTTATATATAATTAGGTGCATTACCTTACCTGCACTTGATAGAACTGCACCTACTACTGGGCAGTCTTTATATGATGTCTACAACAGATAGTGAAAAACAGGCAGCGAGAGAGAGAAGATGAGAAACACGTTGGGGAAGGAGAGGCTAAGTACGGCATCCCGAATCTACTACTAAACCAGATGACCAAATCGCAAATCGCAAATCGCAAAAGCCATATATTTACTATTACTACTATTCCGTATGCCTACACCCCCACTCTCAGCCCCTCGTGCCTAGGCATTTTCACGTGTATTCCAACTACCCCCGGGTATCACTATCGCCCACTCTCACTAACGTATAAGGGTTGTGCCCTAGTATGTTGCTTAGAGAAGGGGGGGGGAGAGAGTGTGTGAGAGAGAGGGTGGGGGAGGGGAATTGAAGCGGGAGGCGGGGAAATATTTTAGTTGTGTGTATCGCTTATTCCTAGCCCCCGAATACTACCTTCCTAAAACGGCTAGGCTAGTACGTGTTACGCTAACAATCTTTTGCTACCCACCTTTCCTCGCTCTCCCTTATACTCGCTCTCCCTTATACTTACTCTTCTCTTTCTTTGCGATAACGATAGCGACAACGATTAACAATAGTAACAATAATAGCGAGAGGGGACATAGGGGTATTTGTTAGCCGGGGGACCGGGGGTTGAGGGTGGATTTAGAGGAGCGTTTTAAGCTATATTCGAGGGCAGGAGTATTCGAGTTAAAGTCAAGCTTATTTACTTATATCGAGTGGTTTTACCTTTAATTCTAGCGTAGGTATATAACCCTAACCCTGAGCCACTTTGCGATTTACGACTTGCGATTTCCTATAAAACAACCTCAAAAGTAACTTTTGCGATTCAAGATTTAGTCATCTGGTTTAGTGGTAGATTCGGGATGCCGTACTAAGCGAGTATTGAATTTTGGGGAGAAAACACGAAAGCCTAAAATGGGAAACAAACAACAGAAAAGAAATCAATCTAATCTACATCCTTCGAACTCTGTATTCTCATAACAGCCATTAGTCCCAAAGGAACCAAGGCGTCATCGCCCAACGCCTTCCCATCCATCTCACCTCTTTTATAACAAACCCTTAGAGAAGAAGAAGGTGAGTGACTGTTTGCGTGAGTCCTCATCGCAACACCCTCCTCATTCTTCCCGCTCCACTGTCGCCACTTCACCTCCTCAATACGGTCCTTGTCCATCCCAGAAATATCATACACCTTCATGAAAGGCTGGTATTTGTTATTCCTTGAAAAGTGTCGGAATGCTGGTATCAAGAGCTTGAGTTCAGGCAGAAGCAGATGGGGATTCCATAGTGATGTTTGGGTCCAGGTCCCGTTCTTGAGGACGTTGGACATGGAATCTGCTTGTACGGACGTGTGTTGGAGGGAAGGCATGGGATGGATTTGCGAGGGTGAGAGGTCGAGTATTCTCCATGTGTGGTGGTGGAGATCGAAGTCAACTGCTAGAGTGTGGGTCGGTGTTTGACCTAGCATTCTGTGGAGGTTTGAGAAGGGGGCGTCTTTGGATTTGGTTAGGTCGTGGGGGGTGCTGAAGTTGAAGGTATTCAGTCCTGGACTGGTGTGGGGTAGGTTGTCGAGGTGGAGGGGGCGGAGTTGGATTGAGTCTGAGATTTTGGTGTCTTTGAGGGGTGGTCAGTTGTTTCTTCTTTTTGATTCTAGATATGAGGTTTTTGAAGGAGATGTGGTACTTACAGGAAGCTCTCCCTTCTCCTACAACGTGGTCGAGGACAACATGAGTATCAAACCCATCACAACCATGTTTAAATTGGTTTTCCCAAGTAACTTCAGGAACTAAAACTTGCCTGCGACCCGACAAATGTTAGTAACTCCTTTCTAGATCGTATGCCGTAGAAAGTGTAAAACAAGTACCCCACGGGGTAAATTTAGAGCACTTACAAAACCATAAAAGTAGCCAAAGTCCCAGCAGTGAACAGAAAAAATACTACCCTCAAAATCCATCTCTTCATGGAATTGCGCCTCAACTGAAATAGAATTGTAAGGATATGATCCATCGCAAGCCCAAGGCCGAGGGACGAGACGAAAGACGGAAGAACAAGAAGCGGTATCCCGAGAAACAGATTTGCGAAAAAGTCTCCCGTCTCCGCATAGTCGCTGTCCGTATATTCCTGGTGCCTCAGTGGTTGATTCATTTTTTCTGCCCTCTGAAAAGCCCATAATGTTTCAAATCCAATCATGAGAAGCATAAAGACCAAACAAGTCACAGCTAAATGGACGGTATCAGAATTCACGTCTTCCCTCCATCTTTCCGCGAGTCGTTGATACCAATTCAAGTTGCGATCTTGCTGAATATTCTCATTCCCGTTCTCAAAAGGACTCTCAGGGTCCTGAGAAGCAACATTCTCCCGTCCCCGAGACCCATGATTACGATATGGTTTCGGTCTTCGGGGCAAAACGGTTCTATAAAAGACCTCACCACAAGCGCCTGGATGACAGATCTCCTCACATGTCCCCTCTTCGAATCCACGTACGTGTTTTTTCCCGCAAACCTGGTAGCATGAGTTCCCATCATGCAGCCCATTCAGTCTTAGCGAGTTTTTCTCCATCTTCCCACACCAACATTTCGCATGCATGCTGGGTTCTGGCTGCATTGCTTTGCAGGTGGGACAGGGCCAGGCGCCTCGAGGACGTTGTTTGGCCCATTTGGATACGCAGTCGTGGTGGAAGAGGTTGCAACAGGAGGGACAGGCCCAGATGTCTGAGGTGGGGTAGAGGGATTCGGTGCAGACTATACAGTCGTACCTGTGTGGGGTTAGTGGGTGAGAGAAAGGAGAGTATAGATCTTGAGGATGAAGGAGGGCGGGGGAAATGTGGGGAAAGGGGTGTTAACGTACACTCCATTTTCAAGTTCGGTTGTAATGTTATTGCGTCGTTCTTCTGTTTTGGAATAATTGAGTTTTGACTACCTTTATAAACGACAAGAAATTGGCTTACCTGATACTGTTGCTGAGAAATGTGATGTGGTTCCTGGAGAACGGTAGCTTGGTAGAGGATGGAGGGGAATCATGGATTCTGTTGAGTGAGGGGCCATGATGTATTGTGTTCACACTTCAAATTTTATCGATCCAAATGAATGAAAATTGGACGGTCGCATTCTTGGAGGGGACCTCTTCTTATATTCGGCTACCGACACAGACTTATGAGCTCAAAATGAAATGGTTCGGAATGCTAAATATAAGAAATCGACGGATACCCAACTACGAAGATGACTAGTTCGTAGTTGGATCATGTGTGATGGAATATGAGGCATCTTTTGAGAAGTTGTAGATAAACGAATATGAGAGAAGAAAGACTAGCTGAAATATACTTGGGGAAGATAAACGAAGGAGTCGAAAAATTTGAATCCGCCACAAGAGCTCTCTGTATCCTCTTACAGTGTAAACAGCCTCGGATAAATAGATCCCCAGAATCGTGCTAAGCGAGAAAGATTGCAAACACAACTGCCGGAAACCCGGCATTTGATGAAGAAAAAAACTAATTCGGCGGTTGTCGCTTAGTACACTTCTAGTTTAACGATTTAAAATATTCGGCATGTTCTGCGCGTGTTCTGGAATACCGTCATCATACACTTCTAGCCTTCTACTAAGAGATGACATCATTAACAGATCTTTTGTGTAGACACCTGCTAGGATTCTCAGATACAACTGCAGGGATAGATCGGAACTTTTGTAATTTCGGTGCTTAGGGACATTTTGGGTGTCTAGGTTAGTTTGATTCTGTGAAGAAACTTTAATCCAAGACTTTCGATTAAATTTTGTAATTATGAAGACGGTAGGCTGAGATACCCCATATTATATAATGAGTTTGGCAATAGTAAACAAGTACTTTTCTTCATATTTACAGCGAAGCAAATTTGGATATGAACGCTAGCATCTGGCAGACGTTGATGTACCCTCCTCAGTAAAGTTGTTCTTACATCTGAGGGCTAGATAAAGCATCCCCTCCAACTCAGGCTGCCCATACGACTGTATACACAACTACTACCAGTCAGCGGCAAACCTATCAGAACTGGGGGTCCCATAATAACTGTGTGTGAATTTCGTCTTCGGGGACGGTACAGTGCCGTAAGGACCTGTTCTTCTCTTGGGTGGACTTCTCGGTTTTCTAGGACTGTAAGGGGCTTGTTCAGATGTGAAGCTTGATATCCTTTGTCAGCGCTCATCTTACCATTGTAGTAATCGAAGCTCAACTTACCCTAGAGAATCCGTAACAATATCCACCAGCGGTTTCTCAGGATATTGGGGGAGCGAAACTCGTAGCACCCAATGGACGATTATCGGGATGAACAACATGAAGCCAGGCAACCAAGCACCACAAAGAATTCGAACAATACCAAGCAGAGCTAGAAATAATCCTATTTTGAATTCGGCACCAGCGAGAAGCCACCGCCACCTTATCATTTTGGACTTACTGATGTGTCAGGAGAAGTTTCTTCTGCCTCAAGTAAGAACTAGGAAGACTCACCATTTTAGCTTGTTCGATATCTCGCGCAAGAACGCGAGCGGTCTCAGCTGGAGCGTCGAAGCAGTAAAGTCCTTCTTCTATATCTTTTCGATGTGTGAAGTAGAGGTATTTTCCGACCCAGATGCAGTTGTTTACCCAATCCATTTCGCTTGGGTCTATATCGCGGAATGCTAAGGCACTGCGGATCCAGCGTTTGCCGGCGCGTGCGGAAGCGTCCTTTCCTGGGAATGCATCGCGAAGCTCTTTTGTTGACATGGTATTTTTTGGATCGATTGAGCTGATATGTATTGATTTCGACTTAGTTTAAACCGCCGTTATTTGGATATAATCTGAGATCGTAAATTCTGGCTTTGGAAAGAAAACAGAGATGTCGAAATGAGGCCAGAGAATGCTAAAAGAAAAGAATTTCCGCTTTGGGCAATCGCTGTGCAGGAAGAAAATGAACAAAGAGGGGGGGTAGTTTGGAAGTGTGTTCAGCACAAATAAAGAGCACCGATCCAAGGATCATTGCTGAGAAGACAATCTGCAACATTATTCTTTAATGCAAAGTGAGATATATTCACTAGCCCTTTTCATACAAAGGGGGATAGCGCTAAATTTATCTGAATAATTGTTGTTTAGGCAGAAGCGTTGTCACAAGAGACGTTTGTAAACAATGCTATTATTAGTTGATAAATATAGACATTGTGAAACTCTTCCTGTCTTTTGATGCACATAACGAAAGTTAAACCAGGAAAATTACAATAAGCTACAAAATGAATCAGTCTAACTCTCCAATGAAGGTAAGCGGTACTCGTAGATAATCATTTTATTGTCCTATTGGTATAAGTACATTGCCATCAAACGTACCCCACTACCTGCTGGACCTACTGCTCCTAGATCAGTCCAGGCTCATAATTCTACTCCAAACACAATTCCTGTAAAAGGCGTGCGTGGGTTATGTACTTGCGGTTGTAAAAACCGAGTCGGGAAGAACACTGTAAGTCTGCACGAAAGGAGACGGCGGATGGTCAATGCAGCTCAACGTTGGAAAGCGGAAGGACTTATTACCCCTTCAGAAGCAGAGCTGTTTGAGCAAAATTTGTTAGTCAAAAAAGGCCCAAAGCAATATGAACAGTGCATTTGTGGATGTGGCAAAACTCTTCCCTGTTGGGATAGGGCTTCCCATGTTTTTTTGAGGTTGAAGAAGACTGAAAAATTGACTGTTCAAGAGAGACTGGATTTTTATCACGATCACAAGGACCGAATGGTTAAACGGCGATGGGCGCATTTCAGTATCACGGGGAAGAGAGAGGTGGAGGAACCCCTCTCTTGACTTGGATGAATCTCATTTTCTGCGGCCTGTAAATTTAGCCGTATTTGTGATCATCACAAATGAGTAACTACAACGAACTCACTTGAGTCACTTCTATTCTTCGCCTTGTATCCTCCCATCGTGTTTATAAACTAAATTGAAGCTATTTTTATCCATCTTATCCGTCTACCCTTTTCACTCGTTGCTATCTAGTGTGAAATCTATCTTTCGACATGAAATTGTACAGGGTACATTAAAATAAATTATGTCACTCCCGAGAGCAATGCTTACTAAAAAAGACATTTGAAATATGTTTATCAAAAAGAGGATTATACCCGCCATCTGTGAGTTCGTCGAGGTAATTGAAGAAACTTTGGAGCATCTTTCACATAAGTATGTTTCTGAGCTACCTGCAAATCTGGGTTTGTCTTTAACTGTCACGTTCTAGTATGCTTTACAGTTACAATATAGTACCAGGGTCGGAATGGATAAGCAAAGCAAGTCAATACTCGGTTAGACTGGACTCGTTTACAGCAGGACAGTGCTTATCTCTCAACGAACATTTGATCATTCCCGAGTATGCAAGTATCTTGTTATTTTTTCTTTGGAAAAGGTTGTTCTACAAGATCAAGGTAGGTTGACAAATAAAATTGCTCTAGAAGGGAGAAACAATGAAATGGCGACTAGCTACCTACTTAATACCCGCCTGTATAATTACCCATCGAGAGAGATGTTGAAATTACGTAATCCGTCCTACTGTATTGATTCTACTTTGTTAACGACTTTTTGTTAGCTAGATATATATAAACTAGCTACATCTATAGTATAATAATCAAGCACTTAACCAGCTTCTCATTTACCATATTTTATCAAGAGATATATAGAAGTGAAAATCTTGAATTAAAAGCAGTACAACTTTTCATACACGAATTGGTTTGACCTTGGCCGAATCAGAATATCCAAAGTTGAGCTTTACAGGTAAGTTTGACTTAATAATCTTAGTAGATTCTAAGTGTAATTTCTCCTGTCACATCGCTTCGATATGTCGAGAAGGGCAATACAGTATCTATAGAAAACTCCAGATTAGCAGATTTTGGTATTTACAGTATTTTGATCAGAAATTTGAGGGCATTTTCTTGGTATAGTTTCTCGTATAATGGCAGGATTTATAGTGAATGAGGATGAAGGCTTAGTAAGCTATAGTGGGATATATATCCCACCCCACTACTACCACATGCCTTCAACACCACCATCATATCGTTAGCTATACTTTTGTGAGCTCTTTTGTGGTGGTCGCTCTATTTTCGCTCCTTTCGAGTACGAGGATTATTCCTGCGCGACGATACTACGTCCTCGGAACGATGCTATATTCAGGTGCCGGGATAGTGGTAGTTCACTAGTACGGGGACAAACGCACGACTTTGGCTCCTCTTTCAAGCTCGATCCTCAACCGACGTACTACGAACTGGCGTCGGGATGGCAGATATAGGTCGGAATGTTAGTATTCGCCAGGAAAGGAGGGCTCTCTAGTTGTGGTTTTGGCCTAAAAAGAGGTTTTCCCACGCTTGTTACACAAATGTGAGAGAGAGGTGGATATATGTGCAGGGCAGGTGGTGGATATATTTAAAGGACAGGAAGTAGATATCGGTATTAGGCAGTAGATATAAATACTCGCCAGTTGTTTATAAGGATAGTCCTCCCTTGTCTCCTTTTCTTCGTCTTGTTGTTGGTTTTCCCCCCCTTTTTCTTTCCCCCTTGTTTTGTTTTGTGGCTACTTCCTTTCGCGCTGCTCAATACGGCCGAGGGTGCTTATACTTCGCTTTCCACTATATGTGGGCGAATTATAAGCACTTGAAGCTAGCCTGCAATACAAAATAAAACTAACAACAAGCTCATTGATGTGACGTGTCCCGACTGACGATTGAACATTAATGTCTCTTATTACCAACATTGGGGAACCGCGGTTTATGATCATATCCAACAAAACGTGAGTTCACTCAATTCCGCATATTTGGAACTGAATTCTCAGGCATGTTATTTTGCGGATATCCTTCAAGACCTGAGATGGAACTCTTGTTAATAACCTTCTTTTGTAAGAGACCTGTCCATTACTCTGGACACACCCTAGGAACCTACTTTATGCTAGAATCCATGAAACAATCAATAATTTAATTTTCTTACCTTACTCAGTAATAAAGGTATGTTGATATTGATTATCTTAAATCGCTCGTAGAACATTTTTCGTTGTACAAGGCTTTTTGTTTTTGTAAACAGGCCTGTTTTTCCCAGAATCTTGAGCCTCATCATACAATAGGGGAGACGTTCTTGGAAGAGCCTTGAAAGGTCCACAAGACAACTCCACAGGACCGTGGGTCTAAAGTATTAGTACGCTGAGTAATCTAAATAAACGGGAGAGATAGCAAAGGTTGCTCCATGTTACGCAGATCACATATAAGAAAAGTCTATAACGTTTAGATCCGAGTCTCTAATTCGCTAATTTCACTAAAATTCGGGGAGCGAGATGTACTATTAACTTGTAGCCTGTGACTCTGAGCTGTCCACCTCATTTATGATTCTAACCTAGGTGTGTTCAGAGTTTTGACCGTATCGGTCACTGGGTATAATCCGGCTTAGCTATACATATCCAAGCCTCTTGTCCCAAGACTCTCTCCATTTTATTGGGCGATTTGACCCAACCTTATTCGGTAAGGCTTGTTAAGTTTTCTTGGGAGCTTTCCGAATCTTACTCCTTATCTCTTTTCGGGAAGATCTGCCAGCTGGATCGATCACTAAGGCTTTTTATGCGAGTTCAGGAGATTTACCCAATCGGTTGGTATTAATATATGTGACTCGTCTCACACAATTATTGAAGCAGAGCAGATGTTGTGATAGTATTCTATTTTCGAATGAAACTGTATGGGGTATTCTAGATATATACAGGTGGAAGGTCATAATATATACAAACGTGTACGCAGAAATCTTGAACCCTCGCCCAATGGGTCATAGGCAAAAAGTAAAAGGATAAGACTCTGTTTATCGTGAGTACCAACCGTTGCTGGCAGCAGAGTTCCACTTCATGTAGCTCGCATCAATTTTCTTGAGATCTGCGACACCCATGTTTCCGGCATCAAGAGCGAGTTCCTTCTTCAGGATGTTGATGGCGTGGAGCACACCCTCGGCACCATAGGCATTCGCGTACATCATTGGACGACCAATACCGACAGCTTTTACACCCAAAGCAAGCAACTTCAAGGCATCAGCACCATATCGGACCCCGCCATCGGCATACACCTCAATCTTCTGAAAGATCCCTGGGGCCTGCTCGTGGATCTCGAGAGCAACCTCGAGAGAGCTGGGGCTACCATCGAGTTGTCGGCCTCCGTGGTTGGAAAGGACGATTGCTGGTGCACCGTTGTCAACGGCCAATTGGGCATCCTCGACGGTCATGATTCCCTTGATAATGATTGGAAGGGTTGTCATGGTTTGGAGTTTCTTGTAGTACTCCCATGAGCTGGGTGTGTAGCTGGAATCGGCAGATCCGACACCGTAGCGAAGAGCTCGGTGACGGTTTCCATCCGCAGCAGAGTCAGCGGTGTAGACAATGGCTTTTGATCCGGCTGCCTCGGCGCGCTTGAAGATCTCTGCGGTAGCAGTATCGTTTGCATTAAGGTAGACTTGTTGGAAGGTGGTTCCGTTCTCCGGTCTTGCTGCAGCAATCTCCTCGATGTTCAAGTGAGCGTAAAGCGCAGGCATGTAAAGAATGTTTCCAGCTGCCGCTGCCTTAACCAAGCCTGCTTCTGCTTCTGGGTGTGCATAGTCTGCTCTCGCACATGGACTGATGTAGAAAGGAGCGCTGAAGTTTTGTCCCAAAATGGTGGTACTAGAAGACTTGTTAGAAACCTCATGATATCAATTCGAGAAACTCTGAATATACTTACTTGAGTGTATTCTCAATGTTGGTTATGTCCACCATGACGCGAGGTCTTAAGCGAAATCTTGAGAAGACTTCTAGATTGTTTCTGTAGGACCACTCCCCAGCAGCACCATTTCGATAGTATGTATAGTTCTTGATGGGGATGACATTTCTAGCTGCCCATTCGAAATCTGGCAAACCAATAATGTTCTCAAGAGGAGGAAGAGTGCGATTTGCAGCAAATCCCGCTAGAGCATCGTCGATTCTAGCAAGCCAATTAGCTGACGCTCCTTGAACTGAACTGAAACAATAAACTTACCCAGTGTCAGGCTCGTTGAGAAAAGGACGCGCAGCAAGGGCTGAAGCAGCGAATGAAAGAAAGAGAGTAGCTGAGAGCATCTTGGAGGAGGAATTGAAACGAATGAATCCCGGTGGCGAGAACTTTTGAGAATTGGTGGGCTCAACGGACTTTATACACAAGTCCTCATGTGGCAAGGATGGTTTTCTTCATACAAAATGTTTCCCAACACCCTCGTCATGCAATCACTTGAAAAAGACGAACTCGGCTCCAAGCTGCCCGGAGAACTTGGCCGACACACCTTCACGGGAGCCTAAGAACCCTGGATTCGGCATCGTTAGAGAAGTATATAACTCAACCAATGATATCTCGAATGAGGCTCCGTAGTCGGTAGATGAGCCCCATTGTAGCAGTCGGTTTTGGCGAGTTTGGGTTTTAACTTGGTAGTTGCTGTTTTCGGTACCTCGGTGCTCATTAGAATAGATTAACCAGAAAAGTGGGCTCTCTTCACGAACTTGGTGTTTGAAGCTTCTACGAAGTAATGCTCCCTGAGGCTGCGATTCCACATTTGCTGGAGGAATACTCTTCTCCATTATCCTCCGCATGATGTCATGGGTTGAAGAGGTTTTAAATGCACCTTGGCCTTCAGAAATAAACTTCCGCCCTGCCTGCCACGGCACATTTATGGGTCTCTGGTCCCAAGCCCATACATAGTAGTCGGTGAGGGAGACGGTATACCAAATATAATCTCAACATTTTACAACATATTCCGTAGGAAACAACTGCCCAATGATCAAAAGTGGTTGACATGGGCAAAGGTAGCCACCACCCAATGAGGCGTGTTGACTCCCAAGGCCTTACTCAGTCCGGTGATACGGTACTCGTAGGGTTGTAATGGTACCTGAATGCATGTGGTTGGTGCTTGCCGAAGTTGTTCCTTGGGCTGGGCGGTTTATCCCGCAAGCTCAGTGCTCTGCGTCCACCATCGGGATCAAATTTGATCAGGAAGGAGATCAGATCTTTTGCTTGGCGATACCAAGAACTTGCAACTCTGATCACGTGCTGCTATCGCCGATGCCAAAGTAAAGATAAAGATAAATAAGCTTTGATTGAATAAGCGGGCCAAGAAACCCCTATCAACGAACCTCGGAAGTTAAACGACCAAACCCATATTAAGGTACCATTGAACGCTGCTGGGTAGGGTATGGAGTAGATTGAGAGATAACAGGCATGTGAATGATCAGCAATAGTAGAATGACTGCAGGTCTGCAAGCCCTATACAAGAGCCACTCCAGTAGCACATGTTGTTCCATCAAAACCCTAAACTATGACTTGCTCACGTAGACTGAGAAAGATATAGAAGCCCCCGAGCAGAAATCACTTGGGAGGCATCACCACCACAACTTACCCTGCCTTGGATCTGAAAGAATGAGAAAACCTTTCCTCGTGCTCGCATAGCAAGATGCAGAAGAAGGAAAATTTTCACCATTCTCCGTTTCTCGAACCTACCCGAACTGTACAAGCGCCCAAGGAGATGATAGGGAGTGATCGAATTTTAAAGGATGCATAAGTCTTCAAACTCATCCTTGAGGCGCACTGCGTTTTTATGGGGGGATCTCCCTTGGCAGGAATGTCACATCGGTCAGAACTGGAAAGCCTCGACCACTCTTGAACCTTGATGTCCAATCTTCATCAGAGTCGCACTTGTCCACTATTTGTGCTTTTATTTGATATGGAAGTCTCCAAACCAAAAGCTTTGGAGGAGAAAGTCGTCTCTTTTGGTGAAAGTATATACCATTCTCGATTAGGGTTGCTCCCAGCAAAGGTTACTGATTTTCGACTGCAACCGTGCACGATGGCGGGAGATGTGCGTTGTAGAAGCTTAAAAACTGGATTGACCTTTGGGATATGCCGTCAATCCATGTTGTGATCAGAACCGGTGGGATGAAGAAAAAAAAAGCTGTGGAGCAAATTCACATGGCTCCAGTTTGATCTAGATGTTTTTTAGCAGAAATTACTCCGAGCGGGCGATGGATTGACCAATCTTCCGATTTGAAACAAGTTCGAGAAGTCCACACCGTGGTCCGTGGCCGAGCTCGGAGAGATTTGAGAAAGAACCCAGTTCCAGGCAGAATTCGAAATGAGGTAATCCGTAGGCTGGGAGAATGCTTCCTTGATTACTTGTTGCCCGTGAGGAAAAGTGACAGAAATCAGGATGGTTCTCGTGGTTGTGGTCTTACTAAAGGTGAGCAGAGCTAAGCCACTTTCGGGATGGTGTCTCGCTAAAAACCGCCGCCGAAAGCTTACTGTGTTGTACTACGAGTACAGTGATTTTATCCCATGAAGGCTCTCTTTGGCAACCTTGTAAATTCGTACCGCTATATAACAAGAACGGGTACTGCAATAAAAATCAATTTAACTCCAGGTTCGCTAGAAAATTTTGGCATGTGTTTCTAATTTATAAAGCGTTAATGATTTGTTTTTAAGTATTTAACTTTTAAGAGACATATTATTTACTTTAGCTATACCTTTAAAATCCTAATATACTACACTTCCTAGGACAATTAACTTAATTAACCTAAATTAATCTAAATTATTCTTGATATAGCTCGTATGGTAATTTTAAGTTTTAGGATAATTTTAAAATAATACATTATTCTAACCCAGGTGTCTCTACCGTTTTGTCTAAATTTCTCAAGGACTATGCACTCCAAAAAGCGTGGAAACAAGTATATTGCCATTTATGTTAAAGACATATTTCAATTACTAGATAATACAATACCATCTCTTTTGCATTTTGAATCAGATGTTCTAAGGTGGTGGAGTTATTTGAACAAGATAATCGTGGGTTAGACCTGCTATAGATACAGTATTCAGTATTATTGGGGCCAGGACCTTTTAGCCTTGCTGAAAAGAAAGTCAGCTTGAGCTTGTGTTAATTATGGCATTATCATGACAGGTGTCTAAGAACGCATTTTGAACGTTCTTGTACCAAGAAGTCTTGGGTTTAAAAATCTTACAAAGAAGAATAAAAGATTCAAAAACTTAGAATGGGGGCTTTGGCCACAGCTTTAATATTTAAAGACTCAGATTCTAAGTTTTTCCTAGGTTCATCTTTAAACTTCTCGGCAGGCCATTCCAAGAATAGCTTTCTACGGGTCCCTCGCTCGTTGCAGTCTTCTACATATAAGGACTTCTAGAGAGTTAGGGTCTCCAATTCGCTCTAGCTCATATGTTCTGTACTCCACTCACAAACCCCAGAATATTTCTCAAGTTCGATTAACTCCGGTAGTGCAAAACTAAACGAGGAAATTCTTGAGGATTACTAGGCGCAGGCTGAGTGTTATTTTCCGCAAATGTCAGAATCGCTAACAATTTCTTACAAGTAGGTACTGTATGCCGCAGAGGCTTATCTTACATACTCTCCAAGAATCACGCCCTGCAAAGTCTACCATCTTCCTTTTGCGTCCAGCGGTCACTTCCAACAGCACCAAGCACGTAATGTATATCATGAGGATCATACTTCGCTTTGATCGCGTCCAGTTTCTGGTAGTGATCTCCATAAAACACTTCTTGCCAGTTCGGCTGTTGAAAATCACCTTCAGTGAGATATGCTGCTTCATTGGGTGTCAAAGCCGCTAGTTTTGGGATCAGCGTGTTGGTCATAGTATTCTGGTTTGCGAAGTTGGCCTCGAAATTTTGATAATCGAAAAAGGTCCCGAGAGTACCGAGGGTCAGTGTTTTTCTCCAATACGAATTCGCTGCGACAGCATCCGGATTTTGATGTGAAACGTTTAGGGTGAGGCCGACAAAAAGAAAGTTCGATGCGATGATATCTTGGATTGCCGTCACGAAAGCAGGAAGATTATCTTCGACGACCGAGCGGGGTATCATCCGACTACCAATAATTGAATTGGAGATATTTGACGAAGGCAGGACTGTGGCGGAGTAACTATCTAAGAAAGTCTGGTATAGAGCTGATTGATAATTATAAGACACGTTACTTTCCTTAAGCTGAGAAAGACTTGAACCAAACAGTTCATTCAATTCCTCTTTGGTGAGCCCCGGTGCTGTTGCCGGTGATACGACAAAGGTACCTGGCAGCACTGTCCAAATGACTTCCAATCCGGCATCCGTCATCGCTGGCAAAGACTCGATGAATGTGGAAACCACGTTCCAGAAATCGACTGCACCAGTTGCGGTGGCTGGCTGAGAAAAGCTCAGTGAGGCCGCAGCAACAAGCATTGGATCATGAAGTTTTACTGTGATTGAGATGACAACTCCATATGTCCCACCTCCTTCTCCACAAAGAGCCCAGTAAAGGTCCGAGTTCTCAACCGACGATACCTTTAATAGCTCGCCAGTTGCAGATATGACTTCCCACTCCACCACGTTATCCGCTGCTAAGCCAAACGTTCCAGCAAGAGGACCATGGCCCCCTCCTTGGGTGTATCCACCAGCGAGTGTAACGGTAGGACAAGCCCCGCCAACAATGATGCCTTTATTCATGTCTACAAATTTGTATGCATCTAGTACGGAAACGCCGCTGCCAAATTTGATAGCCCTACCTGAATACAATGGCCCTTCGTATGAATCGATGAGTATGGCGGATGTCAACTCTTGGATCCAGATAGATAGAGCTCCTGCCCCAATAGATTTTCCATTATAATCATGGCCTGTACTTCTGATAACTAGACGTATGTTGCGTTCTGCTGCAAACGCAATTGTTTTCTGAACATCGGCTGCACCTGTGACTTTGACGCTATACTTTACATAGTTTCCCAGAGTACAACTCGATGATCTTGGAAGGAAGGGATTGCAGCTGTTGTTGGCAAAGATAGGTGCTCCCATGGCTGAGGATGAAGATGGTAAATGGGTGCTAGGATAGAACCAACTGTCTTCTAATGATTGACATGCATTCGCGTCGAAAGTTGTTGCCGAAGAGTTACTGGTTGAGTAATCATGACAAACGGCAGCAATAGGAACAGAGGCAATCAAGTTCCCGCCAATACTAGAGTTAAAGCTTTGCCATGATGTTGAGCTGGGCCAGCACGCATCGCCAAGAAAGCAGCGGCAACTTGTTGTAGACGACATGCCATCGTAAGAGCCCATGGGGACCATTGAAGGCAAAGTAGTCACCATATTCGACATGAGAGATACCATCTTGGCGATGGGGGAGAGAACCGAGCTACCAAGGCGATCTGAATACTGTATTTCGATAGATTCGGTTAAAAACGCCCGGCAAGAAAACGTATGCGTTGAGAATATTTTCGGTGGGAGAGAGGTGATGTTGGAAAGATGGGTTTCAGACAAGAATATGAACAAGATGAGAATTGTCAGCTTGATACAATCCAGTAGAAGCAGTGATTATTTACAAGGTAGTCGTGACTGGATCAATTGGCGATGTTGGCTCAGGGCCGTCAGCTTTTGTAAAAAGGTGCATACGTGCGCCTTAAAGAGGCGATGTGCAAACTGCAACGCTACCTTGCCGTCAGTGTTGGTTCTCCACCCACAATACCCTGGTGCTCTGGGAATAAATCAACAAGACCCGAGGCAAAGGTAGCAGTGCAGGAGTGACCTAGTCTTACAGAGTCAGGGCTTGTTAGCAAGAAAGTCGAGATTACGCCTCGAAGAATTTGTCCCTAGATGTAAGAGAGGCGGGCATTACTCTGTACACACCTGAGTTATAAAAAAGTATTATCCTAAAGACCTCACACAACTGAAACAATTATACGGATAGTTTACAATAATTGTTACTTTTTATTTCTTATTGTGCTAGGTGAAATAGGACAATTGAGTTACTTGTACCAGACTTTTGGTACAATGACTTTTGATAGCGTGTATCCCAGTGGGAGCACCAGGGAGCACGGTGCATTCTTTATGTACTCCCGCAGGAGTCCATGAACGGGGTGATTTTTTGCTAATATCTCTATGTAGAATCCTACCCGATTTTAAATTCCCCCTATCTATAATTCTCTGTCTACAAGCCAGTTCCGTCCCTCCTCTGCCTGTCTCTTTGCGCAGAGGAAGGACGGACCGGCTAATTATTACTACTGCTATTTCTACGTCTACGTACTTACCTACTTACTTAGGAAGGGAGGAAGGTCCCGGGGGGTGGAAGGAATAGGGACTTACATATAGAGGAAGAGAGAGTAGGGGGATAGTACCTACGCAAGAAGGGACAGGAGGGAGACTCATAGACAGATAGAGCGACAGAGCCACAGACCGACAGACACAGAGAGACAGACGACAGTCATATGTAGGCGGTACGCATAGTTACGCCAGGTTGGCTTGAAACGCTAGTAAAAGTATCCTATTCTAGGCTCCCGATAGTCGGACCAAACCCCGTAGCGCGCCTAGGCATCGGTCCGACTGGCCCCTGTTCTTGGCACTACTAAGCGAGCTCAAGGCCTGAAAGTTGAAGCTTCAAAGGGAGCTTGAGGGGGGGATTTTAAGAAATAATCGTAACAAAAGTGTTTATAGCTAACGCTATAGTACTATAAACACTATAATATAGCGAGGGTATATATAATTAGGTATTCTTAGTATTCTAAGAGAGTTTAAAGATTTTTCAAAATTTTATATTTCTAAAATTCTCCTTGGGGCACTGTAGAGTCCACGGGAGTCCATAACTAATAGACCGGGGGTCCGTTGCTCCTACTGGGGAACGGACTTGATCGGATAGGGCTAGTATACCATAACCAACAACCAACTTGACCACTTTTATCGATCCTTGGCCATATGCAAACAGGCAGAGGCAACCACCACCGTCTGGCTTTGAAATGGAGAATCCGTCCTCTTGAGCAGAGATTCGTGAGCCCAAACCTAGCTTCCATTCATATCTCCCCATTTTGTCATCCAAGAATCGTTAAATCTTCTTCGCGATGCAGCCTCCATTTCCCTCATTCACGCCAACATGGCACAATGATACATACCCAGCGATTGACCCCACCAAAAAAGAGCTTAGTCAAACAGGAAAGACCGTGATCATTACCGGAGCTGTGAGTGTCTTCACGTATAATAATTCTGTGTTTGTTCCGCTTATACAAAGTCCAGGGAAGTGGGACCGGACGTCAGACAGCCATAGCTTTTGCTACAGCTGGAGCCAAACACCTGGTGCTTATCGGCCGAACAGAGGCAGACCTCATTGACACTCAGAAGCTGATTCCTGCCCCGACCACAAGTGCTGTGTTCCCAGTCTCAGTTTTGGACGAAGAGGGAATTAAGAGAGTTGCAACAGAGGTCGGTAGTTGGAACGTGCTTATAATGGGAGCAGCACACATCCCCAAACCGGCTTCCACTGTCAATACTGAACTTGCAGACTGGTGGTTGACATATGAGGTACAGTTTATATTCAATCATCAATGTTGATGCATACTAATGAATAGTTAGACGAACGTCAAGTCTATTGTGATAGCGGCCCAAGCCTTCTTTCCAATAGCGGCCCCAGAGGCTGCTGTGTATGCCATCACTGCTGGTAAGTGATTGCTTGATCGTTTTGTTACTGAAAACTCTTAACGCTTACAGGCGCCATGGCGTTGCCACCCGCATATACTCCCAACCTTTCGGGATATCTAAGCTCCAAGGCAGCACAGGTGAAGGTCATGGAATCTTTTGCTACCGAAAATCCAGAACTATTTATCTGCACTCTCCATCCCAGCATGCTAGATACAAAAGTCTTCCGATCTTCTGCAGCCGATGCGAGCAAATTACCCATGGATACTTGTGAGTGTCATTCATGACAATGAGCTTATGATGAGCTTAACTAATATATTCCTCGCAGATGACCTGGAAGCTCATTTCATGGTCTGGCTTACACAGCCAAAAAAACAAGTTCTTGCAGGGACGTATGGTGTGGGCCAACTGGGACGTAGATGAGCTTTCAGCACAATCGGAGAAAATATCAAATGAGGCATTGCTGACCCTTGGATACAATGTTGGCCGTTTGAATGATTCGTTGAACGAATTGCACCTCAGATAACCATCGATGCAAGGCAGAAAGTCCATTTAGATCTGAAATTTAGTACCATATTAAGATGTTCCTGCTGGAAAACTACAAGAGCTAGTGCTAGCCACTCATATTCGATTCTGCCCGAAATTCTTCATCCCAGGGAAATACCTCGATATCGTAGTCCAGAATTTCTATCTTCATACTTTATCGTTTGATGTTTTTGAAAAAGACTGCAGCCAATCTATGGGGATTCACAGCGAGCAAACTCGCGACTTTCATAATCCCGTAGCAAGTATACCGAAGCTGATTTTCTTCATGATTACGAAGTTCGACAATCTTTACAGCTATCATTCCTCCTGTATTTGTTTTTAACCATTAAGTGTTTAATGTTCGGTCTGAAAGTGCCTGTATAGCGACTGGTATTTGGGTTTACAATGAACTCAAAATGAGTGATGACGGCTGGGTTTAACGAAACATGATTACTGCCCTTGGATTTGGCGTCTTTAGTTGGAGTTCATTGAAGACTGCTATCGGCGGTGAGGGTGGCTCTTCGCTAGCAGAGGTTACCAGTGGCGGCTTTATTTGGATCACAATTACCAGCGGTGTCATTTTTACTACAATGCACGTACAAGACTTGAAAGATGTCCTGGACGATAAGGCTAGAGGACGGAAGATGGCACCCTTACTTCTAGGGGAAAAAGCGGCTCAATGGACACTCGTGATTCTCATTCTACTTTGGAGCTCGGCCTGCGCCTGGTTTTGGGGTGCGTGGATAATGGGTTCCATAACGGCGATATTTGGAAATTACATAGCATGGCGATGCCTTCATTTACATGGAAATGTAGAAGACCGGAAGACATGGCAAATGTGGTGTGAGTGGACAGCTTTGATCTCGCTTATGTCTCTTGGACGTTAGGGTCAAAGTCTCGGAGTTGGACCTTTGTTTGAAGACATTAAAGCTGAGTATGAGAAACACAAGAAGCGGGTCTCTGTATAGCCCGAGATATTCCCGGCTCAGGGGGCGATTTTTGATAGTCACGTGTCGCATTTCATATTTCCATCAAAGATTTTGTTTAGATTTGTCTACAAGGTTGATACAAGTATAACTTGCACAGCCCACTACTACTGTAACTCTGTTCGGCTAGTCTTCTCAAATGGATAAAAAGCATGCAAAATACATTGCGTGGGTGAGCTGAACTTGAGAAGTCTTGCTGCGCCGCCGTATGTACTGTTGTTACATTTGGTGGGTCATTTGCAGCGATTATTATTTTTAAGGCAGCGATGTAAATCCGTAGGCTGCCCACGCTGCTGGGACACCCACTTTTCAATCAGTGAGGAAGCTCTCATGACTTGAAAGTGCTTCCAACCGCCTTGTGTCAACACCGACAAAGCTGACGTGTTTCCTGCAATGGCCCATCACATTACCATACCTGGAGAATAATTTCCTGTATAGTCAATCGTGGAATTACTGGGCCTTGTTGGTTTCATACCTGAGCCCCCAACGGTGTAGTTAATCGAGCATTCCCAGTACAAATTGCCCCGGAATTGTTTTTGTTGTGCTGCAGATGGGACTAAGTAGATCCAATCGTAATTTTCAACGGGAATTTCCTCTAGGATAATCAATTCACTCCTTCCATTTTCTCGTTCTTCCCCCTTTCTGCCCAAACTTCCTATCCGACTCTCAAAGTTGTATGGTAACCGGTGATGCACCCATACCTGTCAATCGCGCCTGTAGTCGAATCTTTGTATCCAAGGTCCGATGCAATAGGATGTGACTGTAACCTGATTGACTTGAAGATTTGTGGATGGTGATTCGTAAGCCTGAAAGATATGATTCCAAAGACTGGTGAAACTTTTCAACGTCTATTATAGATGGGAGCTCGCGCATGTACTCGTGTTATCTCTATTTCCCAAGTCAGTATATCCCGTTGGCACAGGTTGTTCCAATTCCAAATCCTCTAAGCAAAACTGCAGCCATAGCAGGCACAAGAAGACTGCTTAAAAGAACACTACCTCATACCCATACTATCCTAGAAGATCTGTGCCCAAGGGGATACTTAAGTCCCAGTGAGTTTAGATATCGATATACCACTACTTCACGACCTTAGTACCACCTTAAAGATCCTACTTTGCTGTCAACAGACTAGCCAGTAAATCAATAAGTGGCCCTAGATCCCTAGGTCACAGATTATAGACAACCACAAAGTTCTACTAATTACCGTAATCACTATAACTTTCAAGAAAGCAAGTGAAGTACTCGAGGAGCTTGGTAGAGAAACTGTATATTGATAACGCAATGCATCTAGGACTAGAAGATTGCTAGTCTCCTCAAGTGTTCAAGGAGCTGTTGCATCAAGTTTCAATTATTCCTGGGATATTGGGATTTATCCAGACTAAGACTCTGACGATTCACAATGAGATCACCGGATAAAGAGTGCTGTGAATAATGCCCTAGAAGCCTAAGACGAATCAGATAATATTGACTACTCAACGTTCGCCCCTAACTTTTTTGTACTTATAATCCCAATTCTTATGCTTCATTAACAACACATATCCTGCATCTCCACTGCAAACAATTTCCCACCTGCAACTCTCGATCATTTTATCACAGTGGATCCTGTAAACCGACCTCACGGCTCCCCTCTCGTAGTGTCAAAATTCAAAGGCGATACTTCCGACCTCACTGATGTGATTAAATACCAGGGGTTTTGCGAAATGGTCCAGGAAACGAATACACAAAATGCACACACAACTTTTTCGAGGAAAAACTTTCTTCGAATTCCATCAATCCCGCTCAACCAAACGATAGCAGCTAGAATTTCAACCACTCCCCTCTCCTCCCAGGAGGCCTGTCCCTCTGGTGGCAGAGATATATCCGTCAAAAGATCACGTGAAAAATTTTCACCCCCTCTTTCTGACCTCTCACAACCCCTACACCACCAACGCCGCTACTATGGCGACCCAAACACAGTCAAACCCGGAATGGCAACAAGAAGTCATAGAAGGAACA